CAATCCGGAGCTCCTCGACCTTGTCCGCGCTAGGAAGAAGGCCTCGGGTGTTGCGGCTGAGCCAAAACTCGCTTACGAGGCCTCCAAGTCGGCCGAGCTGTGGCATGCCATCGATGACTGGAGGGAGGACATGTGCGAGCGTGGGCATGCCGAGTGTTCGATGGGGCCCGAGTGCTTCCTGCCGACGTACATCGTGGACAAGATGGCGATCCTGAAGCGCGATAACATGCAGCAACACGCGAGGAAGTTGCTGAAGTCCCAGTGGCTGTTTTGGGACAAATTTGGTCAGCAACTTGTCGATTACGTGGTTGACCAGAGCTCCCACCATCACGACGACGACGCCTCCCTTCCCATTCCCCCTACGCAGATCCCGTCCGCCGACCTCTCAGCATGCACGGAACCAGTCGATCAACCGCCCCAAAGCACCGTCTCCGCTCCCGACGCGCTGAGGTCCGGTAGAGGCGGGACTGCTCCAGCGAACACCCGCAAACGCGCCGGCACGAAGACTGCCAATGACCCAGCGAAACCGAAGAGGAAGCGGGGAGCGCCGAAGCCTCGTGAGGTGCCGCACGTCGCTGGAGAAGGTGTGTCGGCGAGCGAAGCGGCTTCATCTACGAAGCGCGGACGGATGCGTGGAGGCCCTATCGACGATATGCGCGGCACCAAGAAACAAAAGGTGGCAGAAGAGGGTGCCGCGCCCTCTAGGGCAGTTGGGGGCCGTATGAATGAGGTACGTGGAGGGCTATACGTGAAGTTCTGCTTTGCTGACTTTTAGAAGGTCCTGCAGCCCCCAACTGCTGCCACCTCGAACGCGCAGCAGGAATCATTGGCGGGTGGCCCGCCTACTGCTCGCCCAATCGCTCCCGCCCCCGATCGTTGCTCCACCGGCGCACAAGCAGCCATGCATGACGGGCTTGCGGTACCTTACGCACGAGCTCATCCTCCGCCGCCTCTTGCGGCGCATGTCCGCGACGACGCCGACTCTCATGCAGCGCGGGCCGCCGCCTACCGCTTTTCGGGATACCCATCAGCATCACAATTCCTCCGTGCTCATGTCGAACGCGACCAGAGCGACGGTCCCGCGGATCTGCGTCCCCGACGAGAAGCTTACCCGCCCCCTACTTGGCAACAAAGCTCAACGCCGTCCATGAGCACATTCCACCACTCCAGTACATCTCAACACGCTCTCCCTACGCCCCCTTCGTCAGCTCACCGGCAGTCTCTAGCTCGCGGCACGCAGCTAGGGACACTTGTGACACCTGTGTCGCAGCGCGAATATATGGCCTCCCCGGACACCTCTCATCATCACGCACCACCTTATTTTACGGACCGGCCAACATCGTCAACACTCGAGCACCATCGCCCTCCGCCACCATCTGCATCTTCGCGAGGCGGATGGTATACGCGTCCGTCCGCGGCGCCGTCGAGTTTGGCCATGACGGCTTTCTTCGAACAGCCCGTCATGCAGATCGTCGATTACGCACCCGCTCACGGTGCTTCACTCAAACTCGACGCCGTCACTTTAGCGAGCAAGTGCATCGTTAGCCAGCTCGGTGGCGCATGCTGGATAGACCAGACAATGGTGTCCGGCAAGGTGCGTGTCGTGCTCAGCCATGGGCAGACCCGTATTGTCGATGTCGTCCAGCGCGCCACCGTCATTTGTGCATGCGCCCGGGGTTTGCACGGCTCCCGCTCTGTCTCGTAGTGTCCTGTATTGCCTTTCCCCAGAATACTCTAATGCATGCCATCATGTTATCTACTTGTGCATATATGTGGGATACGAGTCGGGTCTGTACATGACGCGCTACTCCTCGTTGTGGCTCTGCGACGCGTATATCACGAAGTCAGGCAGGGGTCCTGACCCCTTTTGTGACTTGCTGCACGGGTGTGCCCAGTCCGCTCGCAAGCTCGCGGTCCATTTGTCTTCTCCCATGTGCACCTGCCAAACCAGTGATGGACCGCGGCTGCGAGCGGAAACTGGTTCACGAGTCTAACTTTCGTTCACGCACTTGTGATGCGATTCGGTCGCTTTCATCACGCAGCGAGGGGCACCGTTTTGATCAAGTTCCACGCGCCGGTGATTGCTGATCAGCTCGAACACCCACAAGGACCCCCTTGCCTTCGAAATTCGAGGCGTGTAGACGGATGATTTTGCATCCAGCCAGATCTTGAACGTTCTTTACAGTACTAGCGATGGCGAATCCGTGTCTATAAAATGAGTTTGTTGGAAAATAGTGAAAGTGGAAGGGGTCCATCGCTTTGGGTGGCTGATTGCTAGTGATCGAATCACGCACCGAGCGGTCAGTGGTCAGTGATCAATCACGCACCTAGTGATCACTAGTTTCTGCGTGATTTTGATGCTCACGCATCTTCACGCACCTGGCGAGTGGCCAGTGAATCGCTGGTGCGTGATTTGAGACCGAAAATCGCTCATTTTCACGCAAATCATAGTGATCACACCACTATTTTCACGCAAAATCACTCGATCAGTAGCGGTATACTGGGTTTTGTCCAGGATTTGCAACCATAGGCGCCCCCATTGAAAGGGCAGTTCAAGTCTAGCGTGTCACCTGATTAATATAGGCAGTTCTATTTTTAGAGCTCCGCCAATCGCTTGCTCGTTGTTGCCGCCGCCGTCGGTGGCCTCCTTCTGCTTCTGCTGCCGGCCATGGCGAGCACAAGCAAAACCGCAAGCTCGTCTACGGCTGCGACGAATACTGCGCTGAATTCTTTGACGACGACGACCCCCGTCTTCCCGCCCCGCATCTCCTACGCTGACGAGTTGCTCACCTCCGCCTTTGATCTCACTCGGACGCCTTGCTTGGTCTGGTGTCGATATAGCTCTTATGCCGACGCGATCGACGGGGCAGAGGCCGTCGAGCGCGCCCGCCTGGCTATCCCCGAAAGTAATGCGGGGAAGGGTCTTCTCGAATCGGACCTGACGAGCGTCAGGGCGGGGAGCCGATCGCGCATATATGTCTTCAGACTGGGGGCGAAGGAGGCACTGAGGGAGATGAAGACCGCGATGGCGAAGCTGAGCTTCGAGGGACTCGAAGGTGTGTCGGTCGACTTGCCGCTGATTATCAAGTATTGATGCGTGCTGCGTGCTAGCGACCCAGCCAGCGTGTATCGCACTCGACGAGATTTATGGGCCGACGAACTCATCCACTGCACGAATACCCTCCAAGACTACACGCACCATCCTCTCCCACTTCTTCGAGGCTATCCGTACGCGCTTCGTCGACGATGTCGTGCGGCAGGCGACTAACGTCAAGCGCGATGTCCAACGCTTCAAGACGGGCTTTCTGTTCGGGGCGACAGTTCCTATGGCACGATCCACAAAGGAGCAACAATCCACAGAAGACAACTGGTCTGCGGGGTGGGACGCTTATGCCAGCGCAAGACCTCTCACCTTCGTCCACCTTGATATTCAGCTCGACGCTCGCTTGCGGCTGCTCATCAACCCTATCTTCCGTCCAACCAGTCATCGGCCTCTCCCCTTACCGACGCCTTTCCATCGACATTCAAGAACATCACACGCCAGGTACGCCACCACTTATCATTGCATCTTCCACATCTCTAACGCATATATTCCTCTTTACTCTCGTCTTCTAGCCACAGTTCGCTCTCTGCAGGAATTCCCATCACCCTCCTCCCGCATGGCACTGCCGCACATTTCCTCGCGGAGTATACCCCCACGGATAGCCGTGCCCTCGACCGCGAGTTCGAGAAAGGATTTCGCGGAACAGGCGTTCTATTCCACACCTCTATTTCGTCCTCTCCCCAGGACCATAATGCGCATATACCTTCCACGCCATACATCATTGGCTACCTCGCTATCGAAAACCGTCACGGAGAACCGAAAGGGCTCACATTTGTATACCCACGTCAACTCTGTCTCCTTTCAACCGACCCGAAGCGCCGGCCGCTCGACAACCCACCCGAGTTGCCCGCCCCGTTGCAGCCATCACCTACATTGGCCAATGCGATACCACCTGCGCTCACGTCGCAGGCAACACTAGCGCCCGGACTGCACTCGGCCGTGGCATCTGCGGCCTCATCTGCCCCCGTTTCCCCGCTACCATCGGCTTCAACCCAAGCAGCACACCCACATGTCGCTGCATCCATTTCGAGGAACAAGGCTACGCAACTTTTCAAGACCATGGTCGGCAGGCCCGGAGAACCAGGCGCCGTTGCACTTGAGGTCTCTGCCTATGTGGACGCGGTCGCGAAGGAGCGCGAGCGCGAGCGGGAGAGGATGCGCGCGGCTAGGACCGGTAGCGGAGCGGGCAAGGTTGATGCGAGCTCAACGTCGGGTGCACAGGGATCGACACCTGCAATGCAGATCACGACGCCAGGAGCGAGCGGTCTCACAGCAGGCGCGGGCTTCGCGGGAGGGCACTCCGCGTCTGCAAGCCCCGCAGCGCCTTATCCTTCGGGCGCGAGCTCGTTCTACCCCTCTCCTCCGTCTACGGTGCCAGCCACAACACACATCGTCCCCGGGATGACACCGTCCGTGGTGGTCTCGCCTGCCGCTATGGACATCACCGCGCACCATACTCCTGCAGCTCTCTCCCAACCCCAACCACCATCGGTGCCTTCTCAGCCACCCACGGCGTCGACATCTGTCTGGGGCAGCATACAAGATGCCGCCAACAATGGCTTCGTCTCGGGCAGCACGGGCTTCGGCACGAATGGCGGAGGCAGCAACGGGTTCGGCTCGAATGGTAGCAACGGTACCTACGGCTACCTGGGGTCCATGGACTTCAGCATGTTCGAGGACGTGGGCATGGACGCCTCAGTTGAGACTAGCGCTCCAGCAGCCGTCGCCGCCCCCGCTCCGTCCGCGCCCTCTTTCGCGGCCGCGCCAACCTCGTTCGACGCTTCAGGTAGTATGGGCACATCAGGCAGCTTCGGCACGAATACTAGCAGTGCGTTCGACACATCCAACGCGTTCGGGACTAGCTCCAGCAGCATGGACATGCTCGCCTTCGACATGGATATGGCGTTCTCAGACGCGGATTGGAATTTCTTCGATAAGCCTGGTACAACCTCTTCATCCGATAACGTTGCTCAAGATGGTCCAACGCCGATGGCGATCACCTCCGAGCCTACCCCATTGGCAGCACCCATCACACCGGCCTCGAACTTCGCGATGCCTCCCCCGCCACCTGCGCCGCCTCCTGCATATGCTACGCCTGCCACCCCCATGCAGCACGCGACGCCTCTGCAACACGCCACGCCGATGCAGCAAGCCACGCCTGCGTACTCCTCTCCCGCTGTGCACTTCGACGACGCGCACGCAAACATCTCTTACGAGTCCCACGACCTCATGCTCGACATGACCACCCCGCAGGTGCTACCACCATCCCCACCGCAGACACCAGGCGTACGCGTTAGTCACTCACGTAATGGGAGTCTCACGGGCGGCGGTCGTTTTGATCCCATATCGTTCGCCCAGAGCCACCATAATGCGGACAACAAGTACGCCGGGGGTGGGAAGTTTGCCTCCGGAGGCAAAGGCGGGATGCTGCCCAGTCCGCCACCAGAGGACACGCCATCGAGTGAGGCGAGTGAGAGCCAGGACGGACAGACGACGCCTCCATCCCGTCCAGCGTGGTACCGCAGTGTCACTGACCCCAAGATCGGCGTGGTGAAGCGCCTCAATGGCGTCAAGCGCAAGTACAAGGGACCTGCCTCCCCTCGGGTGAAGCGGATCCATTCAGACCCCCAATGCATGACTTGGGAAGCACAAGGCATACGCAAAGTTGAAGCCGGTCGGTGTCCTCTCGACAAGGCCAGTTGGGAGGACGGCGACGCGGACCTCGACTGGGTGCGGGAAGAAGAGCCACCGGAGACGGAGGAGGAAGAGGATGAGTCCGACACCGACCACGAGGATCTCGAGCTCGACGCCGAGAGCTTGCAGCCGCCAGACGGGAGGCTGGGTGCCAGCAACAGAGCAAGTCGCGCGCCGAGCGAAGCCCCGTCCTTACCTCCGTACCTTCCTTTGGGTCCGACGTTACTGAGGACGCAGTTCCGACATTCCCTCCTCTTACCTCTAAGCTCGCAGTCGTCCTCCGATATGCATACCAATGCGGCTTCCGGTGGACATCAAGGGAACACAGCTGCCTGTGCGCCGACGCCGGTCAGCCCAGCAGCCATAATGGGTGCGGCGGCCGAGCAGAGCAAGTCTCTGGAGGCGACGGCGCAGATGGTGGCGAAGGAGGTCGCAGAGAACGGGGTGTGGGGCGAGGTCTGGCGCGCGGGCGTTGGGAGCAACGACGAAGGCGCACGAGATGCCGATGAGGATGGAGATCCCATTGCGCCACACTCAAGCGATATCGCTGTTGTGCGGGAGCTGTGGAGTGCAGTTGGCGTGCAGAGTTTGACGTTGGGCGCATTATGTGGGGTCGAGGAAGAGTCTGCGCAAGATCACGGCACGGCTGATCATGCCATGGACATTGACGATTCAGCCGACTTGCCGACAATCAGCAGCACTCTCAAACCATCGCTCGCTGCACTCCCACCACCACACCTCACCGTCGCCAAAGGCAACTCAATCGTTCAAGTCCTACCCACTGCACTTCGCTTCTGGGACAAGCTTGGTCTGGGCCCGCGAGCGGGGCGCAAGGAGGCCGTGGTCTACGTGGTCTACGAGGACGCGGCGACGTATACTACGGCCGGCGCAGGCGGTCAAGCGGGTTCATCGATGGAGGCGCAGGTCATGGCTTTCCTTTCGCAGTTGGTCGGCTGCTTTAAGGTGAGTGTCAGAATTCGTGAGAAAGATAACGAAGTGCTAATGTGGTATCTAGACGCATCATTATGGCGCTCTCATCCCAGGGAACAGCATCAACAATCGTCCTGCTGGGCTTTTTCCTGTCCGCTTTGACTCCAGTATCCGCAAGCAGCTCGGTGAGCCTCCTATTTTCCTCAACTTCCTTTCTCACTCAACGCCTCATCACCTAGCTCATCTACACGCCGCCCTCGAGTCCAGCCTCCACGACGACGACACCCAACCACCGCCCACTACCCTCCTCCTCTTCCTAACACCCCTTCACCTCCTCTCCCTCGCCACCCCGCCCCTCCGCCACCTTGCCGCCGCGCTCCTCCGAACTTTCCGCCCCGCCATCGAATCCGGCATCCTTTTTCCCCACCTTCTTCCCGAGCATGTCCTCGCCTCTTCGCCTGCTGCGCCGTCCCCCTTCGCCTCCGCCGAGCTTGCCCGCGTGTGCGCGGACATTTACGAGCGCGTCAGGCAGCCCGTCGCACGCTCTGCTGCTCGGGCGTTCTTTGCGCGGCAGCGCTTGATCACTAGAGTGCAGGCGCCCGCGAGCGCGATCGCGCGCCCGGTACCAAAGGTCAAGGTGACAGCGGACGCGGGAACTGGGACGTTGCCTTTAGATGCGGGCACGCTCTTGCACGTCGGGTACCAGGTCAGCGCATCGGGCAAATGGGTGCTGTGCGCGTGCGTGGATGAGTATGGCGAGGGCTGGGAGACGGGTGTATGGTTGGTAGACGGGGAGGGCGACAACGATGACGGGGATGGCGATGAGCAGGAAGGAGCGAGAGGACAAGGTGCTGGTGTCGGCGCTGGCGCGGAGGCGCGTGTTGTATCCCGCGTATGGGAGTTTGCGGTTCGATTTGCGAGCAAGGCGGCGGTGGACTGGCGCGTTGCGGTGGCACGGCTGGGCGTGATGCCCGTGCGCGAGGTAGAGGGTAAGCGAAGGGTTTCTTGTCGCGCACAACTGTGTACTGATTTCCCTTCCCAGCCTGGGCACACCTCCTCGAGGACCCGCCCGAGATCTCGCCCTCTTGCACGGCGGTGTTCTGCGTCCAGCACGATGCGCCGTGGGCGTTTGCCGCGCTCGCTCGGCCCCGGACGACGTCGAGTTCGCCTATTCTTGACCCGCGCACGGGACCTCCAAGCAAGCACACAGCGGGCCAGGCGATCGCGAAACACGCCGCCAATCAGGTCTACGTGGACGCGTCTGCGGCGATCTTCGCACTCGAGGTGCGCGGGGGCGGCCTTCCATTGTCTGCCTCGCAAGACGCGGCAGTGCGAGGCTCCTTCGTCGAAGAGAGCGCGCGCGACAAGGAGCGCGAGCACAGCGAGGACTTGGAAGACGACGCGCTCGACCTCGATGCCTGCGGCCCCCTGCCGCGCCGGACGAGCGCGCTGGTGCGCACGACGGCCACGGCCGGGATCTCCACGCTCCAGCTGCACCTGATGCACGTCCGCTGGTCCGGCGCGCAGGAGGGCGAGCAGAAGGCGCGGCTGCGCGTGCTGGAGAAGGAGCTGCACGCGGACGTCACGGCGAGCTACCACTGCCTCGCCGCGCTCGCCGCGGTGCGCGGGAGGCACCGGCAGGGCGTGGACCCGCTCCTACCGCTGCACCTGGCGGCTACGGAGGCGATGACACGGGCGTTGGATCGGGGGGAGGATGGGGCGGACGTGTGTGGGGGTGAATCGTGAGAGCGGGTGAGTTGTGAGAGCTAGGGAGCGTCTTGAGTGGAGGTGTTTACAGTCATTTGCAGAAAAGTTGGCAGGCCCGCGCCCGCACTTTTTGTTGCACGTGGGGCGCGTCGACCAATGCCGTCGCCAGCGCAGTCGTCCGGGTCGCGACGACGCCTGCGATTGGCCGCGGGCGCCTCGTGGCAGCGAAAACGCGACGCGCGGGTCTGCCAACTTTTCTGCAAGTGACTGTATGTTTGATTATGAGTAACGTTACGACCCAGTATCATCTCCATTGTACACTAGCGCATGTCATTGCATCTTGGACGCGGCTGCATATTCCATAGAACCTATCTCATGTTTGACATCTCTCGTCTGTACAATAGTAATAACCACGAACTTCCTCTTGAGTGACTTCAGTCCGCCATGGGAATGCATGGGCAAGGGACGGCCATAAAATCCTTCCTAATGGGGCATGTTGCGATAGAATCCCGAACGGCGCTCCGTGATTTGTGTGACGTGATTACCGGTCAGGACACCGGGATCAAAGAAAGATCTAGCACGCGAGCTGCAGTTCACCTTCCTGGTCGCGACCATTGTTCTCCTCCTGCCTCCCTCCATGGTCCCGTAGTTGGCCGTCCACCCTACCCACTCACGCCCATCATGCCCACGAACACGCCCCCCAACGGCGCGCGCCGTCCGTCGAACCTCACGCTGCGCATCGCGATGCCCAATTCGAAGGCGCAGCCGATGCACAACTCCTCGACCTCTACGCCCAACGGCGCCCGATTCTCCAACTACTTCTCCCCAGTCGAGGAGAAGGAGCGCCCGCGCCGCAAAGCGCGATTCCAGCTGAACAACCTCAAGCCCGACCTCCACCACCTGCCCAAGCCCCTGGAATGGATTCCCCAACGCTTCACCTGGTCGAATATCAAGCCCGTCATCCGGTGCGCCGTATCGGCGTGGATATGCTTGGTGCTATATGTCATCCATCCCGTGGAGAAGACAATGGGGCAGGTGCGTGGCTTGTTCTGGGAGGGGGAGCGTGTTCTGACGAGTCATGTAGGCTAGTTTCATTGTTCTTATAAGTAGGCGATGATACGCATCATCCCCGCACTTCAAGTAGTCTGATCACACCCCAAAGGCTCCTTTCTCGCTCCTCCTGCTGGTCCCTTCCTCGCAACGCTAGAGCACGAGGTGCTGATCCTGCTGCATGTCTGTGTGGCATGGGCGTACGTCTTGCTTTATCTCATCCCATTGACCTCTCTAATTTGAACCTTCCTAGGTGGTGCTGCTTGGGTATAAAGCTCGCGTATCTGGCGCGCGAAGAGCGCGTACCGTACGTCACGCTACAAGAGGCCATCAGCGGGCGATACATCGAGGCAGCGGTGCGCACATCGTCTCAGACGTGGACATGGTCTGACATCCCTCTCCCCTAGCCCACAGTCATCATCGCGATCTTCATATTCATCGCGAGCACCGTCTTCCTCTACATCAAGGCGAGACAAGGACCTGGACCTTATGTGTTCCCCACCGTGTTCGCATGCCTTTGCGTCGACACAACGATGACCCTCGCGGTCTTCTACCCATTTACGGCGTATAATGTACGTTTCTCTCTCTACCTCCGCTCGCTCAGTGCCTCAAGACACTCCTAGGTCGGCAGCTATGTTGTGCTCCCCCTAGCCATCAAGGCCGGCGTCGCCCTTTTATGCTCCGTCCTCATCTTCCCCTGGACCGTATCCGCCCAATTCACCAACGCGCTCCAAGCCGTCATCCGCCCGCTCGCTACCGCCCTCGATCTCCAGCGCCAAGGCCTCGCGACATCCACTGACGATCCGGACTACCAAGCGACCGTCTCCAAGATCGCCGCTTCCGTCAACGGCGCCGAAAACGCGCTCGTGCCCCTCTCTTCCGCAGGCCGCCTGCTCTCGAGCGATCTCATCTACTGCCGCTTCGCGCCCGACGACTTCCGCACGTTTCAGAAGCTGTTCCGCCGCCTCGCCGTGCGCTCCCAGGGCCTCGTCCTCTACTTCTCGCTCATCGACCCCGCGCGCGAGCGCTTCCCCGTCACGCCTGCCACATCGCGCCCGCCCACCGCGCCGGGCACACCACGGACCATCTCACCCTCTTCCACCCGCCCACCCTCGCCCGAGCGCGATGACGGCCGGCACTCCAGCGGCCCCTCTAGCCCCTCCTCCCGCCCCCACTCCATCCTCACCACGCACACTACCCGGCACGCGCACACCCACCGACACCGCCGCCACCACCACCACGGCTCCTCCCTCGCGCGCCACCTGCACCAGTCCCTGCACCACCTCGCCATGACCCGGCCGCACAAAACGGAGACGACGGTGGGCGTGTTCGAGAGCTACCGGTACCTAAACCTCGACGCGAAGCACTACCCGGAGCGCGACTACGAAAACTACGCGGCGCAGTGCACGGGCCTGCTCAGGGAGTGCTGCGACCCGCTGCTGGTGGCGTGCCGGGACGTGGTCGCGTGGGTGCCCGGGTGGCTGCAGGGCGTGCGCGCGCACCGCTTCCACCTCTGGGGCGGGCGCGGCGCCCGAGAACGCGCCCGAGAAACCTCGCTCAAAGAGGTCGCCCGCCGGAAGGCCGAGCTCGAGGGCACGCTCGAGGCCTTCCGCAAAGAGGGCCGGCTCAAGGTGCTCGACGTCTACCGCCCCTTCTTCGAGCACGGCGGCCAGGAGGACGCGCACGCGCCCGACATGCCCGCGCACCGGCACCTCTTCCACTGCTACGTGTACCAGTACCACCTCATGCAGGTCGCGGGCATCCTGGTGGAGATGCTCGACGAGATCAGCCGGCTCGAGACCGAGCGCGTCGCGTGTCGGCTGTGGACGCCCGCGCAGCGCCTGCTCCGGTGGAACGTCTGGGAGTTCCCCGCGACCGTCGACGAAGAGGACGACGAGGATCCGGACGTCGTCCAAGGCCTAGCGCCCTCCGTCGAAGAAGACCTCGGGCTGGCCATCAAGCGCGACCCGGACGTGCTCCCGCCTGCGAACGGGTTCGAGTGGGCGATGAACCATATTTACAAGGGATTCGTGGCGCTCGGAGGAGGTAAGCACTGAAAGCGATGGTGGAAGCAAGTCTTCAGGCTGATTGCTATTTGCAGGCAACTCGATCTTCGCGCTGAAGGCGGGGATGCTTTCGGGTTTGTTGTGACGGTTGTTTGGCCTACTGACAGCGCTCTGACCGGTTCCCAGTATTGTTGTGTCTGCCTTCCTTCCTGTCGAACTCGGCGCGGTTCGCGTACAGTGAGCTTTTTTTCATCCTCCGCATCGCGCATCTGCTAACCAGCGCCCAGCCAACAGCTTCAACTGGGCAATGTGCGTTTCTTAACCTTCCTATCCTCCCCTCCCTCTCTCCCCCTCTCTTTCTCTCCTACCCCTCCCTCTCTCCCTCTCCTACTCCTCCCCACTAACCCCCCGCCCCAGCTTCATCGGCCAACTCACCCTCATGCGCTTCCGCGGCGACACCACCTTCGGCCTCGTCTCTCGCATCCTGACCACCTTCTTCGGCGGCCTCCTCGGCACCGTCGTCTGGTACATCTCCTCCGGCGCGACCGACAGCGGGAACGCGTACGGGCTCGCCGCCGTCTGCGCCGTCTGCTTCCCCTTCTTCTTCTACGCGCGCCTGCACTGGCCGGGCCCGCCGATCTCGAGCGCGATCTTCTTCGTGACGGTGATGCTGGTGATCGCGTACTCGTATCGGAACACGTGGGTCTCGCTGCCGGGCTCGCCGGGGTTTGGGATCGAGATTGCGTGGGTGAGTGGGTGGGTGTGAAGGGGAAGACGAAGTGCATGTACTGAACAATGTTCACTCAGCGTCGATTCGTGCTCGTTACTTGCGGGGTGTTCGCGGCTTTGTGAGTTGTGGATCCATGGATATGTAATCGAGTATCGCTGAATTTGTTCAGCATCTTCTCCTTCCTCCCGCCCTCGACCACCATCCGCCGACTCCAGCGGCGCACCCTCGCCACCACCTGCTCCGAGATCGGCGCCATCTTCTGCTCCATTGTCTCCTTCGCCAACGCACCTGGCGATGTGGACACGCAGGAGATTCTGACGAGCCTCATCGCGATCCGAAGCAAGCTGAAGCGGTCTATCACAAGGAGCCAGAATGTGACTTACGAGGCGAGTGGTTGCTTGCCCACCGGCGAGCCAAGTGCTGACACATACGCCCAGTTCTCCCTACGCGGGAAGTGGCCCGCCGAGCGCTACAACAAGATCAGAGATCTGCAAATGTGAGAGTCGTCCCCCTTGCGCATCCTACACGTATTCACGTCCACCCCCCCCCCCCCACACACACACACATCTAGCCAACTCGCCTACTCCCTATCCCACCTCATGTCCGTCATCAAGCACATGGACCCCGCGTGGACGCGCGCCTTCCTCCGCCGCACGCGCCTCGTCGACTCGGACTTTCAGGGCGACCTCCTCGCCGTCATCTCCCTCATCTCCACCGCGCTTCGCACGGGCACGCCGCTGCCGCAGATCACGCCGTGCCCCTTGCTGGACAGATTCATGTTGCATTTCCACGGGTTCAACGTGATCCATCGGGAGAGCGAGGAGGACTATGGGCTGCCGCGGACGCTGAGCCTGGCCACGCTGGAGGACGAGCAGTATTTGTGAGTGGGGTTTGGGTTACATTATTGGTTTTCTGGTTTCGGAAGTCGCTCCACTATGAGAGGCGTCTGACTATGAGAGGCGCCTGACCATGGGAAGCTCGAAGCTCACCATCACCCTCCAGGATGTTCTGCGTCGGCGTATCCACCACATTCACGATCATAACCCGATTGGACCGACTCATGGTCGCCGCGAAGGAGGTCGTGGGCGAGCAGTACCACATCCACGGTGTCGGCCTGGACGGCGCGCAGCGGTATGCGCCGCCGCTGGGGCAGAGGCCATCGAGGGATGTTTAGAGAGTGGGTGTTTAGGGGTGATGCTTTATTGGTGGTGATCACCTTGGATCCAATAGGTGCTTGTTATGGATGTAGATGGTCATGGCAGGAGGAGATCCGTGGTCAGATATGTAGATGAAGGTGCACGGACTGTTTTGTATCCATAGTGCATGCTTTCTTTGTAGGTATGCTTCCGCAGGCCTGTGTCGTGATATAGGCCTAATCTGCGTTTTTCATTGTGGTCTATATGATTCGCACGCTCAAGGGACTCTGAAAGTCTGAGCGACGATGAAGTTGGACGCACATGACATCCACGTGGCGTTCTGATCCGGGATCAGACCAAGCGCCGCCCTGTAGCTTGTCTTCCACATTTCGCCGTCTTGTCCGCTGCAAACCCGCTAAAACACGGCAGAGGCGACTGTCTAGTATGGACAAGTCGGCTAGTATGTCCCGCCACTACTCGTGCTGCCACTCGCTGACATCGATGTAGTTATCTGCACGACCAACCCCGAGGACAACGATGTTCGACGCATGGTTGTCTCTCCGGCCATATTCCACCAGAGCGCCAGCGCGCACACGGACTCTCTAGGCCGCTCATACCTTCAGTTTGCCGATGTATACGCTCTTTGCTTCGCCACCTCGACGTCCAACATATACAATATGTGCAAAGCCACAGGCGTGGGGTTCTACGGCGATCGGTGCTTCACCATTCTGAAGTACTTCGAACGGCTAGAGGAAGCCACCGGCATCTCGCGTGGTTATGGCCTGCACGAATGCGAGTTGAAGGATGGGCGACTGATCTACCTGGCGGTCATCTCCATGGCAGATACGCTGGAAGCTCTCCCGCGCCCCGCTGCCCGCATTGAGCTTTTCAAGAAGCTCTTGAACACCAAGACGGAGCCCATAGTGCGCCGGCTCAGGCAACCTAGAGTGCGTCTTTGAAATCATCATCTTGGAGTGTGTGCTCACTTCCTTATCGCAGATGTATAGCGCGTGAAGCTTGAACGCTTGAATCTGTTACGTGCTGCTTTCGCTTGCCACCGCTGAAGGCTTTCCCGCCATGCTATCTGTGCTGTCTTGTCACTGTACCATACCCTGAACGCATTGTTTATGTCGCTGCTGTGAATATGCGTATATATGGCTGCCTTGAAATTCACCTTTCTTCATGTTTGACGAAAACCCGGATTGCTGTTGCATATTACTTTGGGAATGAACTAATACTACGTCTCGGTCGTCCGCGCCACTGCCGTGACTGCGGCCAGTGAGCAATGCCCACGTTGTATTAATTTGGCTTTGTGATCACGGCGAACCCCGCAAGTGCCTCTTGTCTTCTCCCTTCATCTCGCACGCTGCTTCCGAGAATATGGTTTCATCTTCTTCGCTGAACTCCACCGCTAACATGACTACCTGGACTTACGACGAGAACCACGACGACGTCCGCCTCATGGTCATCTCCCGCGGCATGGTCAACAAAACGGCGAGCATGCACCGCGACTCGCTCGGAATGCCATACTCCCAGCTTCCTCCCTACTACGGTCTAAGCTACGCCATCACGTATATGAACATATACAATTTGTGCAAGACGATCGAGGAGGATGAGGACGGCGATCAGTGGCTTTTCGATGATGAGTGCTACACCATCTTCAAATGGCTCGAGCGTCTGGAGGAAGCCACTGGAATCTCACACGACCATGGGCTGCACGAGTGCGAGTTTAAGGACGGTCAGCTGGGTTTGACGATGGTCATCTCCTGCTCGGACAAGCCGGAAACTGTCCCGCGTCCCGCCAAGCGTATTCAGAGCCTGAAGGATTTCCTGCGGGTCACCAAGGAGCCGGTAGTGCGTCGGTTTAACCAGCCCAGGGTGCGCTTGCCGTGCTGTCTCCAATATGCGCGTCTAACCATACTTTTAGATGTACTTCTGAGACGGGAGTCCCCTGGAACTGTGTTTAATGGATGGAAATGCTAAAATCAGTAAATTGTACATTAAATGCACAAAGAATGCATGGGGTCCCTAATATAAGCCATACTGTCGACCGCGCAGCTGTCCGTCCGTCGGGCGTATGCCCCGCTACCAGGAAGACGTGCAAGCCGCCACTACACCGGAGAGCATGCCACCTCCGCCGCTCACCAAAGGCGAGCAACAACGCCGCCAGCCATAGCTAGCAGCGTCGCCGCCCACGCGAAGGCGAGCAACATCAACAGCGACCCGCGATCCGTGTAGCAATGGACGCAGCACCCACCCCGCGCCTCGGTGACCGATGCTCCCAGCAACCTCCAGCCGAACTACGGCCTTCGTCGACTGCCAGGCAAGCCCTAGCTACGTCCGCGCAGGGCCCGGAAAGACGAGCCGAGCTCCGTGCGAGCTACCCGACAGCCCGTGCAATGCCTGCGGCGCCGCCAGGCATCTTGAAGAGGAACCACAGATGTTGGCTCACTGGTCGATAAAGACATGTAGCAAGCTGCACATCTTCGCCCGATAGGTGGCTCGTCCGAGACGGGAGGCTGATCCTAGTTGGATGCCGCATTCGACGGCGGGCACTCAGAAGAGCGCCGTGCAAGTCCAAGAAGGACCTGCGAAAGGTTCCAAACATTTGCCGTCGTGTCGACGGGCGCAGCAGAGGCAGACAAACGCAGAACCGTTCGCTGAACACCTGCGGGAGTGTACAAACACCCCTGGGAGTGTACGGTTACTAGGACGCGTCCAAAGCCCATTGGTCCTTCGTCTACAAGGCCGGGCTCCGCCAGTACCTGCAGTCAGACGCAGCCAAGGGTCTCGTATCACTCCGCTTGGAGGCCTCGGGCACCTCCAAGATCACCGACGCGCTCTGGCGCGGCCTCTGCGGAGAGCAGCACAACCTCCCGGAACTCCAGCAGTTGACTCTGCGCAAGATTCCGGACCTGACGCCCAAGGCGTTGTGGTGCATTCTTCGCACTCGCCATGCGTCCGGGTGCACTCGCCCGCTCCTCGTGGAATGGGAGGGCTGCGAGATCCCTTCCAGCGTTGCGAATGAGGCTCGTGAGCTAGAGATTTATATCGAGAAGTCTAGTTTCTTTTCGGCGCGCTCAATTGGACAGTCTACAGTCTTACCATAGGCCTAGTCATAAATTCTCGTCACTCTATGATACCCATTTCGCGCTGTACGGTTCGTGTCCTACATGCACGCAAACGCTACTTAGTTGTCTTCCTCAATTACCGATCCCTTAGGCCTTATATCCTGCCCTATGCATCATTTCTCAATGTACTTCATGATCAGAACCGTTGGACATGTTCATCTAGAACTGCGATTGCATTGAACATTGGAGAAATTCTCCTTCTACGTCTGGCTACGAGCACCAGGAAACAAGTAAAACAAGACACCCATCGTCAACAGCACCTTTTCACGCTCGCCCACCCCGTCTTGAAAAGTAAGAAAATAACGCCTGACATGCACAACTTGTCCTTCATTTACTCGCTCACTGCTCGTCCTCCCTAGCAGCATCCGCCTCGGCCATTGCCTTGATGACGGCCTCCCGGCGCAGCCACTTGTGCTCGGGGATGAAGTACCAGCTGAGGATGCCGAATATGGTGACAGCACCGAAGATGACGCAGGCGAAGTTGAACGACTCGGCGTCCGTGACGGGGAAGTAGAAGGGCGAAATGTCGACCTGGAAAACTCGTCAGCAAACGCGTCCTCCGTGCTTTGAGCAAGCATACGCGAAACTTACCGAGAACAGGATGCAGTTGAACACAAACGCGATCAGGTAGAATGGCTTCGACCACCTCCCCAGGTTGAAGTACGAGTTCTGGAACGCATTCGGCGTCATCGTCAGGCGCAGCACCGCGATCAGCGCATACGCCGCAATCGTCGGGATCGCCCCCGCCGACACCAAGCTCGTGAACGCGACCTGGCTCGGCAGGATCACGCACAGCAGCAGCGCGCCGAAGATGTACATCACCGTCACCGCGTTCTTCGGTTGTCCGGCCTCGTTGACGCTCCCGATCGTCTTCGACATCGGCAGCACGCCGTCGCGCGCGACGGCGAAGACGAGGCGCGAGGCGGCGACGATGGCGATGCTGGTGTTGAGGATGAGGCCGATGACGGCGAGGATGGTCATGAAGGTCGCGCCGCCGCGGCCGAGGGCCATGGCGTAGATCTCGACGAAGGGCTGCGGGGCGGCGAGCGCGAAGAGCGTGTCGAGGTCGGGCGTGCAAAAGAGGAAGAGGATAGTCGTGACGAAACCCAGGATGCCAGTGGCGATGCAGCTGTACAGAATGCCCTTGCCGGCGACGACGCTGGGTGCAAAGTGAGTTCGTAGTTTGAGCAAGGGACGGCAGATGATTACCTTGCGTTCTTGGTCTCTTCGGCAATGTGGCCGGACGCGTCAAAGCCCGTGAGCGTACCACCCGTGAAGAGGAAGCACAGGATCCAGTTCCACCCAGACGGCGCGCCAGTCCCGTTATCTGAAGCGATGTCAGTTCTGTTTCTCAACCTTTGAAGTTGACTACTCACAAACTTGCGTAAACACATCCTCCGCAGACCGGAAGCCGTACGTCCTCGAGACGCCGATGGGCAGCCAGATGACGCAAAGCAAAAAGTCAACCATCATCAGCAAGGCGCTGAACTTGAAGACGGCCGAGTAGAGGCGCGGCGGGAGGTAGTTGATAGCGATGGAGATCAAAAGCAGGCCTTCCGAAACGATCCAAATAAGTGCGCGCCACCTGGGGTTCGCATAGTCCATGCCACCCGGATAGTCCACCTCATAGACGACAAGGAGGGACAAGATGTAGTTGGCGGTACCCTGATGACACTTAAGCGGATTTCGCTAGAGAGGAGGGAAGGAGGGCATACCTGGCAGTTGCTGGCCACAAAAGTCATCCATGCCGTGGTCGACCACCAAGCGACGACGAAACCGAAGAAGCGCGCGTATTTCGGACCGGCGCTCTCAGCCGCCCAGATGTAGATCGAACCACTGAGAGGGAGAGCAGAGCAGATCTCAGCAAGGACGGCGGCGGTGATGGTCATGCACACGATGGCGATAATGTAGGTGGACCAGACGGCCGCAGGTCCGCCTGCGAGAAGACCCAGGAAGAGGGCACCGCTAAACAATAATGAGTCACCTAGAACTCGGGCAAATACTATGAGGACGTACCGAACACCTCCGATGAAGTTCAGCGAGCAGAAGCTTGCCGCAAAGCTCTCAATAAGGTGCCAGGTCCGGTGCAGTTGCTGTATACACCGAGTCAGATATGCCACGCGGACGTCAGTCCCCTCCCCCCTAACTCACCTGCTTGTACCCTAAATTTTGCTAGAGAAAACGTCAGCACTTCTGCCGCGGGCCCCCTTCAGGGGCGGTGAGAAAGATGGCGACACTGGGGGCTTCCCTCCGCGAGTGTGAGCTACACAGGTTCGAGCGGTATGATCTCAATCTCCTCTGGCGACGGCCACCCTAAGGGGCCCCGACCGGCCAGAGGAGATACCCGCAGCCCTCATCCAGTGATAATGTGCCACTGAATTGAAAGTAATACCATAGCGCTGCCATCACACGCGAATTTGGTGCGCCGCCCAGGGTTACGCCGCGGGGCGCTTCACCAGCTGGAGTTCATCTTGGTCGACAGTGCGGACGACCTCGGCGTCGGAAGCCGGGTCTTTGTCAATGCCGCTTTTGACGGAGGAGGAGGGGGACATCTTGCTTGAGATGATGGGGGGAGGAGGGAACTCGTCAAATGATGCGCCCGGTGTGAGTCGGCTTTTGTACTTTTCGGGCGCGATCATGATCGATCACCCACGGACCGCCCGCCACGGCGGAGTCAGGCCTGGTGCCGTCTCCGTGCCTGGCCTGCTCATCGTTCGACGTGTCCGCCAGATGGATGTTCACATCTGGACTCAGGGAGTGCAAAGTGCGATAAATCCAGAACAATAGCCAGGTACAGCCAATGGGTACGTTGAGCGGCCAGAAGGCGAGATGAATGTCGAAGTGAATGGAAGGTTTATGAAGGAAGGCCTTCGGCTGGTCAAACTCAAGTAGATCCTCGGGATCAGAGAAGCAGTGTGTTCTTACATACAACAGGGTGCAATAGAATATCCGTGTTTACATGCGAATGAAGTACAGGACGCAAGAAATCCCTTACGAAATGTTGAAGCGCTGCGAGACAAAAGATCAGTACGACAACTCCACCTACACAGCACTAAGAGGACCACTCACCGGCTTCAGTGCCTTGATCAACAACCATTCCTCGGTCGAGACGTCAGCCTTGAAGTTATTCTGCACCAGCGTATAAGCTTAAAGCGCCACAGAGTGATTTGCAAGATACACACCTTCAGCACGTCAATGCTAGACCGGGTGATGTGGCTCAGAAGTTCATCCTTCTCGTCGAAATGGCGACCGAACATCTTCGCGGACTGGTACACGGCGTGCTCGATCTTGACGGCAACACCACCACCAGCCTGACTCTTCTTGACGATCTGAAGGAATTCGTGAGCACCTACGGATGTCGTGGACCAAGACTCAACCTACATCGAAGTTCTTGTGGTTAATCTCCAAGGACGTACTAGCAAAAGCATGTCAGTGAGGGCTTTGCAATGAGCTGAAGTCTACGCACATCTTGCCAAGGTCGATGATCTCGCGCTTCCCGGTAGCAGGGTCGGTCTTGACAACAGCCAAAGGCGTACCAACGCGCAGTGTACCGTCGAGGATATCTACACCAACGATGATGGGGTCGCGTTTACAGAAGCAGGCAATGATCTTCAGTCGACACGGCCAGACAGCCTGCGGTGCCGCGTCTCGCCTCTTCGCCTCGACGATCTCGCTGTTGTACGCGGTGAAGGCGTCGAACAAGTGGTAGATGATGTCCGCTGAATGAGAGCGTCAGCACGCAGAAAGTGCATACAAAAATGCCATTGTACTCACCCTTAAACAGCCGGATCCCCATCTCCTCCGCCATCCTCTCCGCATCCTTGTCCACCGGCACGTCGAAGCACAAGATACACGCCAACTCTTTCGCCTTCTCCAACATCGTCGCCGAGCGCATCACGTCGCGCTTGTGTACGGGCCCTATATTGATTCCAGACACCGGAATCTTGCTGGACTTGAGGAAGTCGAGCAGCGCCTCGAGTGAACCAAGTGTCGACGCTTGCACACACACGCCACGGCCGGACTTATCGATGCTGTTGAGGAGGGAGGTAAGGTCGGACATGACCTCATCCCGCAAGTCATCCTCGTCGTCGTCGGGGCCGCAGACGAGCAGGCGGGAACCGGCGATTGCCTTGTCGAGGTCGGGTGCGGTGATCTTGACACCGAGGGCAGCCTTCACCTCCTTATGGTGGACGTAGGCCGACTGCGCAACATGTCAATCCCTTTGCCACGATAAATCCAGGGCCACGCCAACGCACCTTGATGCGCAACTCCCTCAACGGCTGCGGTGTCAACAACGCTCGAATCTGCGTCACAATTGGCCCATTCAATCCGCACACCACGATCTTGTCGCCCTCCCTCAAAATGCCGTTGCTCAACACGACATCGATCGTCGTCCCCAGACCTTCAATCACCTTCACCTCCAATACGGTGCACTCCAGCTCCGACAGGTACATCAGCCGGTCGCTCATGCGCTCCTGCGTGAGGCGGATGAGCAGCATGATCATGTCGGGCACGCCCTCGCCCGTGATGGCGGAGGTGGGCACGAGCGAGACGTTGCGCGCGAAGTTCTTGTTGTCGTAGTAGAGGACGGCGTTCAGGCCCTGCTCGGCGAACTCGACGATGGTCTTCTGCACGCGGTCCTCGAACTCGCGCTGGACGGCGCGGGATTGCTTGGCGAGTGATTCCTGGAAGGCGCCGTCGGGGGTCGCTTGCCAGCCGTACATACGATCGATCTTGTTCAGCGCGACGATGAATGGCGTCTTCCTGTCCCTCAACAAACGAAGCGACTCGAGCGTTTGCGGCTCAAGACCGTGCTAGTGAAGAAATCAGCCTGAGTTCTTCGAAGCCCCCCACTGATCAAGCGTACCATGATATCAACGACCAAGATGGCGATGTTGCAAAGAGAGCTGCCACGCGACCGCAAGTTCGTGAACGACTCGTGTCCTGGCGTGTCGATGATGAGCAATCCGGGCACCTTGTACTCGAAGCTGCCGTCCTGTTGAGATGAAGTGCATGAGTTCTCATCCGCGCCATAAGGCAGACACCCTCACCTTATTCAACACCGCCGTCTTCGTCTTGATAGCGTCCACCGGGAAGTACGTCGCACCGATCTGCTGCGTGATACCACCAGCTTCGCCTTCTTGCACATTCGTCTGCCGGATCTTATCCAGCAGCTTCGTCTTCCCCGTATCGACGTGCCCCAGGATACAGCAAATCGGACTCCGCAAGTCGTCCTTGTTGCGCGCCGCGAGCGCCTCCTCGTGCGCCTTTGCCCGACGCGCGGCGGCCTCCGCCTTGCGCTGCGCGGCCATCTTCTGCGCCTTCGTCAGCTCCTCGTCGGAGTCGTCAGAGTCCGAGTCGGAATCGTCAGAGTCGTCGGAGTCGGATTCTTCCTCGGATGAGTCTTCGTCGGAGGACTCTTCTTCTGAGGACTCTTCCTCCTCGGCGGCAGGCTTCTTGGCCGGTGCGCCCTTCGCAGCGGCTGCAGGTGAGGGTGAGTGGCCGCTCGTTGTGGGGCGGGAAATGGAAAGCATACCTGGCGCAGCCTTCGCGGGTGCGGGAGCCGCCTTTGCAGGGGCGCCCTTCGCAGGTGCAGGTGCTGCTTTTGCAGGCGCCGGTGCCGCCTTCGATGGCGCAGGAGCAGCCTTAGCAGGCTTCTTATCCTCCTCGTCGCTCGACGCGTCCCAGTCATCCTTCACATCCTCAGCAGCCGCAGGCTTCTTCGCCTCATCGTCGCTCGACGCATCCCAGTCTGACTTCACGTCGTCGTCCTTCTCCTCCGCAGGCGCAGGAGCAGGAGACGGCGACGCTGGCGGTGGCGTGGCAGGCTTAGATGACGGTGCCGCTGAAGGCGTGTCTGGTCGCGATCCTGGTGCAGGGGAGGCGTTTTTCGCCGCCGGGCCCTTCTTCTTCTTGCCGTAGACGGGCTTCTTCGTCTGCGCGCCCTGCTGCAGACCCTCGATCTGGACGCCGGATGCGAGCAAGGCCTGCTTGCGGCGCTCTGCGGCGGCCTTTTCTTCGCGCTGCTTTTTGGTGAGGAGACGGCCCTCCTTCTTGGCGAGCTCCTTCTTGGCCTGTAAGAGTAGCGCACGGTCAGCTTCGACAATCATTGAGAATTGAATTACAACACATACCTTCTCTTTCTCCTTCCTGCGCTGCTTCTCCGCCTCCCGCTTCTCTTCCTCCTCCTGCAACCTCCGCTCCTCCTCTTCAATCCGCCGCCTCTCCTCTTCCTCCCGCTGCCGGGCCTCCTCCTCCAGACGCTTCTTCTCCTCCATGATCGCCTTCAGCGCGCTCAACCCCTTCTTCTTGCCACCAGCGGCGGGCGCGGGTGCCGGTTCCTCCTCCTTCTTGGCGCCTTTTTTCTTCTTTTTCTTCTTCTTGGAGTCTCCCCCGCCTCCGCCGCCTTCCTCGTCGCCCTCTTCGTCGTCTGCGGCAGGAGCAGGGGCCGCGGCGTCCTCGGACTTGGAGGGCTCGGGTGCGGGTGCGGCGTCGCCGCCAGCGGCGGCCTTCTTGGCTGCTGCTTGCGCCTTTTTCTTCGCCTATAGAGGGTATTAGTGAAGGACGCATAACGAGTGAGACGATGCGCACCTTTTCCTTCTCCTTCTTCAGCTTCTCTTTCTCCTTCTTTGAGAGCACCTTCGGGCCTCCCTCGTCGGCGCCTTCTCCATCTGCATCCTCGTCCGCCTTCGCAGGTGCCTCCGCCGCTGAATCGTAGACGTATGAGCAATAGTTTGAGAGATTACCATGCATGACGCACCTTCTGCTGGAGCCTCGACTTCAGCCTGCTCCTCGTCCTCATCCTTCGCGGCCTTGCCCTTCTTTTTCTTGTCCTTCTTCCCCTTCTTCTTGTCCTTTACGGGCCCCCACTCCTCGTCTGCCAGATCCTCGGCCGTGACCTCCACCGCACCCTTCGGACCCGCCGCGTCAGCGGCCTCGCCGTCCTCCGCGGGTGGCGCATCCTCGTCGAGGTCGGCAGCAGCAGCGCCTCCCTTCTTCTTCTTCTTGTCCTTCTTATCCTTCTTGCTGCTCGCTTTGATCGCGGACTGCCGTGTGTATAAGCCCCTCAGCCCTACACACCGCACCGATCACGCACCATGAGCCCGCCAAAGTCCTCCTCCTCCTCCGCGCCGGCTGCACCGTCATCGAGAGCCGCAAACGCAGAGCCGCTGGCGCCCAGCTTCTGATCGGATCCATCGGCGGCGTCATCGAACGCTACCGCGACGTTGTTCTGCTCGACGGACTCGCCGGCTTCGGCCCTATGCTCACTTGTCAGCGCGGGCGCCGCTCGCGGTGTCGTCGTGCGCACCAGTAGTCATCGTCGGCGGCCTTCTTTCCCTTCTTTCCCTTGTTCTTGGGCGCCATACTGGTCGCGAGTGAGGAGGTTCAGTAAGCAGTCAGTGACGCGCCGTCACAGTTCAGCTCGCCGGGCGACGTTCCGAGTCCGTCCCAAATATTTTGATCGGACTGATCACCGGGATTCACACGCTTGGCCTTTCGAACATTGACGAGTCCGACTTGGACTTGACCATCATCACACATCTCATACCTCGCCCTCTGCAGTAACTCTGCAGCGTTGAGAAGATGGGTCTCCTAACCATCATCCGTAAGAGCCGCCAGAAGGAGAAGGAGATGCGCATCCTCTTCCTGTGAATGCTGGCCTCCTCCCTAGTCTCGGCGGTGGCGCTGAGCATGCTTAGCGGTCTCGATAACGCGGGGAAGACTACGATCTTGAAGAAGCTGAATAACGAAGATATCATGAGCATTAGCCCTACACTTGGCTTCAATATTCGCACCTTCACGTACAATGGGTAAGCGGAACAATCGAACTAAAGGCGTTCGCAGCTTGTTGAACATGTCCCTCCTTCGCCGTCATCAGATTTACTCTGAACATCTGTAGGTCAATTTTGCTTCGTCTCTTACGCACGATCTCTCACATTTTCATGAATGTTAGGGGACGTCGGTGGCCAACGCACTCTACGCCCTTATTGGCGCAATTACTTTGAGCAGACGGACGCCATCGTCTGGGTCGTCGACTCCGGTGACCGCATGCGCATGGAAGATTGCAAGCAAGAACTGCATGCTCTACTGACTGAAGATGTAAGTCTATCCAGAAGGCCCCCTCGTGTTGACCAAACCCGCTCATCCCGGGCTCTACGGATCCTCGCGCTGGTCACTGTCTTCGCAACCTTACTAACGTTATGTTATAGCGCCTCTCGGGCGCTTCTCTGTTGATCTTCGCCAACAAGCAAGACCTCCCAGGAGCCATGTCGTCGGCGGGAATTTCCGAAGTGCGTCCCTCGCTTCTCGTTCACCATCATTGCATTCGTTGTCCATCCGCATCCTTTGATGCATCTCTCTCTCTGCTTCTAACTCTCAATCACATGGCCCACCGCCCTTCGCTTTCACTAACTATCTGAACTAACTTAATACCCCAGGCCATCGACCTCCCCTCCATCCACTCCCACAATTGGAAGATACAGTCTTGCAGCGCTGTCACCGGCGAGAACCTCCTCGAGGGCTTGGACTGGGTCGTTAATGACGTTGCCGGGCGATTATACTACGGTGCAGTGGCAAACAACGCTGCCGCAGTGCAAGCGGGAACGTCGTCGAGGATGCAGATGTTGCCGCCGAAGACGGTAGCTGCTTGACGCGCAGGACTTCTTATATACTCCTCAAGAAGACACTGTACTATCCCTTTGTGGGCGTCGCCGAATATGTTCTCACAGGTGCAAATCATACTGCGCACCCATGAGCAGACAGCGTGGTAGGCGGCAGGGTGCCATTGTGTAATGTTGAGTAGAGTTTGCGACTTCTGCGTACTTTGTGCATACATTCTGTTGTCTATCGGAACTGACGGCTCCCTCAGTTATGCGGATTCCTCCATTTCCTTGAGAGTAGGGCCCAAGTGCTTCCTGAACGTCGCTCTCAGCTTACTCGCTACCGAAACATCGCCCGGCATGCGCAACTGCGGCGAAACAATCCCACAGACCCCGTTCTTGGGATCAATGAACTGGGCAAGGTCAATAAGACGGGATCACGCACTCAAAACGCGCCGGCGCAACTTACCCACGCAGTGTTGACTCCGCCTCCCCAGATGAGCGTGCCCTGCCCCAGGTCCTCATCGCCATCGCCGACCAAGAGCCCACCCAGCCCCATGTTCCGCCCCTCCCCCGCGGTCCCGCAGCCGAACATCGGTCCCCCTGGCCCCGCCAGAGCGGCCTGCAGCGCCTCGTTGGCCTTCCCTTCCAGCTGCGGCCTGAACAGCTCCCGCACCATCTCCCCACCCAACACACGCCCATCGTTCTTCAGAATACTCTCCAACACGGCCACATACGCGCGCGCGGCGACATACGCCCCGTGCCCGCCATAGCACACGTCGCCGCCGTCCGTGAAGTCGAACCCGCCCACCGCCGCCAGCCCCTTCCCCTCCGGGTCGTCCGGGTTCAGGTCGGGCATGCGCGCGCCCAGCCGCTCGCGCACGGGGAAGTACGAGATGTCGGAGGGCGGCGCGCCCACGGGGGCGAAGACGTGCTCGCGCAGGTAGGCGTCGAGCCGCTGCCCGGACGCGCGCTCGACGAGGAAGGCCGCCACGTCGTGCCCGTGGCCGTACATCCAGCCCTCGCCCGGCTGGTACGTCCCTGGCATGAGAACTCGGGACACCTGGTCGGGCGCAGGCCGCGGTGGCGGGTGCGCGGCGTGGTACTTCGCGCGCAGGGGGTTCACAAACGTGTAGTCCATGCCCGCTGAGTGCGTGAGCAGGTGGCGGAGCGTGAGGGGCTTGGTTAGTGGGACCGTCGTCGCCTGCTTCGTGTCTGGATCGAAGGCCGTGAGGACGCCCAGCGCGGTCAGATCTGGGAAAGTGGGGCGGAGATCTTCGTCCAGGGAGAGCTTCCCCTGCTCCACGAGCTGCAGCGCCGCGAGCGTGGTCAGCAGCTTCGTGGCCGATGCCATGTACGGCAGCGAGTCGGGCGAAAGGGGCTTCGTGCTACCGTCGAGGGCAGTCTGCGTGCCGATGCACTTTGAGTACACGGCGCCTGAGGTCGACCGCCCCTCCATCACGACGCCATGAATCTTGCCGTCCGCGATGGCATCTCGAAAGGGTTGCTCCAGGGCTTGCACAGACATGATATTGGACCCCTGCTCAGCGCCAGCGAATGTAGGGTGAAGGTTGGGTGAAAGTAAGGATGGATCGGACCAGAGTAGCTCAGTCCTCAGACCTTTAAGTATACAGTACGAGCGCCCTGTGACTGCCGCCGACTCCAACGCAGCGATCAAGTGGACGACGCCGGCCTGTATGCCGACGTACTGCGCGTACATGGCATCGCGGCCGCGAACGCGCAACCTCGGCCAAAATGCTTGAATAGTCAGTCCAATGATCTCGCCGTAATGCGACTCCGAGAGTCATATCTGCTTGGAATAAAAGCGAGATCTACCACAGTCAAGTCACCATCATTGCGATATTTCGCGGCCGGCGTGACACTAGAATTGATAGTGAAACCATGGTGGCGGTAGAGGACAGAATTAATAACATAGGCGTGCGGCAGGACCGCAGGGTGCTCGCTAGGAAACCTACTCCGTAGGTCGAGCAATGTGCAACGGCAAATGCCGAAAGAACGTGCTGTGAAGGTGACGTCATCGTACGCGCTGCCCGAAGGCCAGGCGTAACCTAGCGCGAAGGTGCACGAGCGATGTTGCATAAGAGCTATCCGACATATGTCGCTCAAATTCGAGAAGAGGGTGGTGATGGGTGGGAAGAAGGGGCTCGGCTTTCAAGCGAAGCGAAAGACCGAAATTCGAACGCGAAACGGCGGCTTTGGGGGTCGAATCCAAAAAGTCGAGCGTTCGGGACGAAACTTCGCAGGATGCTAGCCAGCGTAGAGCAGACCCAAATTCATATTATGACTATAGCGAAGTTCGAGGAAATGCGCGGACAGCGGAGCGAAAACAGCGATGACGAGGCGAAACTACCGTTTGGCCCGTGAACGGGGGCCCCTCCTTGACTCACGTGATAGCACATTGCTCGCGAACGCCTCTCCCCTCCCTCGCAAGCTCGAGGGGTCCCCTAAGGCGTTCGCGAGCAATAAGGAAGGGGACGGTATTTTCAAGGCCGCCGCCAGGCAAACGGTGACCGTGTATGTAAAGCGCCTCAAGATCGAGTTGTGCTGCTGAACGCTCCGAAGTACTCAGATGATCCAGCTACCAATTCATCAAGTCTGCCTACCAACAGGCAAAGACAATTCCATTCCTCGCCCGAAGGCGACTTCAAGTCAGTAAGTACTAGGTAAAGTCCACAAAGATCATGCCAGACATACAACTGTAACCGAGAACATCGTCGCAAGTCGTACGCCAGACACACCATCGTAAACTAAACCGTCGTAAGTAAATTAACTACATCTAGGTAGCAAGCAAACACCCGTCTCCACGAAGTGAATCGAGATACGAGAACAAGGACTCGAGAATCCAAGATCAAGACAAGAGGCAGATGAATAGGTAGGTACGTAGCACTGTAGCAAAGATGTATGATATGATACAGGTTGTATATGACTAGCGAGACCGATAGCGTACGGGATACAGCATTGAGTGACGAAAGCAAGAGGGGACACGGCGGAGGTAGCGCAGAGGCAAATCGAATAAGGATAGGGTCATCAGTCCGAGTCAGAGAAACCAGTCAGAAACAAAGACGGCCTCATAGGAAAGGATCGGACATGATGCCCTCGATTCGCCGGACGACACTGTCGGGGTATCCTCTGCGACAACGGTGAGCACGACGAAGTGGAGGAGAAGAGAAAGGACGAACCTTGATCGTAATCGCTGCAATAGTTCGGAAACACGGTCCCGATTTTGTGCACCGAGCTCGGCGCGTACCATCTCCTCCCAAGTTGACGGCTAAAGACAGCGATGAGCAAACATCCAGTGCAAGAACCTCAAGCCAACTCACCTCACGATACACCGCATCCGTCCCGTCGCCCTGCGTCCGCGCCGACACCATCGTCGCATCGTGCGCAACGTGGTTCCCCGGCGCCGCAACACCGTACGGCGGGTCCGACAAGCTCTCAAAGATGCGCCTCGCAGACTCGAGGTCGTCCGCCCGGCTGTACCCCTTGATGAGCGCGTTCGCAATGTACGCCGTCATCCGCACGCCGCCGTCGCGCATCCGGCGCATATACTCGCCGAGAAGGTCCGGGCGCTTGTGCGTGACGAAGACGTTGAAGAGCGCCTCGTAGACGATCGCGTCGTGCCCGCTCTCCAGGCGCGACTCCGGGACAGTGGTGAACAGCCGGAGCGCCTCGTCGAGGTTCTTCTGCGCGGAGCCGTACGAGTTGATGAGCGCGGCGAACTGCGCGGACGTGAGCCGGCCGACGCCGCCGAGCAGCTGGTCCTTGATCTTCTCCATCATCTCGCGGTTCACGGGCTCGACATTGCCGTAGACGTCGAGGAGCAACTGAATGGCGGGTCAGTACATTGGACTTCGTATTCGGAATTCGGATAACGCACCTTCCAAGTATGCTCGTTCTCCTTTGCGCCAGACGCCTTGAGCTTCTCATAGTACGCAAGCGCGCGCTCACGGTTCGGCTTCGTCATCGTGAAGAGCTGCATCATCGTATTGTACGGCGCGGCCTTGGGCCTGAAGTTCGGCATCGCCTCCATCTCCTCGAACAGCAGCTCCGAACTCGCGACATCGCCAACGCGCGCACACGCGCTGATGACCGTACCGTAGGTAACCGACGACGGGTTGATGCCTTGCTCCTTCATCGCCTGGAACAGCTCGAGCGCCGTGTCCGTCTTGCGCGCCTTCGAGAGTTTCGAGATGATGTTGTTGTACAGGAACAGGTTCGGGCGCACGCCGCCGATCTGGCTCTCGTTGAAGAGCGCGAGCGCGTTCGAGGTGTCGTCCGTGGTGTCCTTGACCTGCATGATCAGCGCCGCATACGCGTCAGCCGACGGGTAGCCGCCCTGCTCGATCATGCGCTGGCGGTATTGGTATGCCGTGTCGAAGTCGCCGGCGTGTGCGTATGCGATAACCATCGAGTTCTCCACCGCGAACCACGCGGCCATCTGGCGCTGCTGGTCGTTGCCGAGGACCTTGAAGATGCTCTGCGCGACACTGTACGCCTGGCGGACCTCGTCCAGCATGCGTGCGCGGCCACATGACTCGATCAACCGGCCCGTAGTCTGCGCATTCGGCAGCCGTCCACGCTTGGCGGCGTTGATGAAGACGTCGAAAGCCTCCCGCGTCTTGGGCGCGAGAGCGTGGAAAGTGAGCTCGTGGATGTGGCGGGAGACGTGGTGGTCGACGCGCGGGTTGCGGGGGACGATCGAATCAGGGATAGGGGGCGGGGCCTGAGCCTCGACCTTGGACGTCGGCGCGACCAAGCTCTCCGCGAGGACCTTGTGCTCGATAGCCGCGTCGGATAAGAGGCCAGCGTACGCGTCGCCGAGCTTCTGGAGCTCTTCCTTCGCCTGCTGGGCGCCCTGGAACGCGTGAACCAATCTGCCGAGGAGGTCAGTGCGCGCCGTGAACAGCTCCTTCGCAACCGCGATCTCGGGCGCGAGGGAGCCGAGGACGGTGATAAGGTGCGATGCGGGCGCGCGCGCGGTCTCAACGCTCGCGAGCGCGGCCGCAAAGACGAGCGCCCTGTCCTCTGTGGGAAGATCGCGGATGAGGGCCGCGTCGGGCGGCTGGGACGTAAACGCGGTGTCGACCATCAGCAGGCGCTCGTGGGACTGGGGCAGCTGCGCGAACAGTTCCGCCTTGGCGAGGTCCATAGCGTAATCGAAGGGGACGACGAGGCCGGGGAACGCGTCGAGGCGGGCCATGCAGTGGGTGTACGCGTGCTGGACGACCTGGAGGGCGGTGATCTGATCGGGGGCATCCTGCGCGACCATGGCGTTGAGCGTCGCGAAGACGTCAAGCGCGGGGAGGACATGGCCGCAGTCGAGGTACGTGGCGACGGCCTGGAGGGAGAGGCGGACGCGATCGTGGAAGGCGAGCGGGGGGCGGATGACATGGGCCAGGACGTCGGGGGCGGGATGGGAGTGCGCGCGGGCGAGGTTGGCGGAGAAGACGAGGAGGCAGTCGGTGTCGCGGAGGGGGACCTCGCCGCGGGCGTCGAGATCGGCGAGGCGGGCGAAGAGGCCGTTGATGTCGTCGACGATGGAGGCGTCGGCGCGGGCAGCGTCTGCGAGCCCGTCGAGCATGAGGTCCCAGGCGAGGCGGTCGGGGCGGGCGATGGACGGCATCGGCGCGTACGGGTCGGCGGGCGGCGCGTCGGCCTGCTGCAGAAGCCGGTCGAACCAGCTCTGCGCCGTCGAGATGTCGCCCGACCGGACAAACCCGCCGATCACGCTCGCAAACGTGGACGATGCCGGGCTCGGCACGACCTCGGCACTCCCCGACAGCATCGTCTCCAGCAGCGCGACGCCCTCCTGCGGCTCCCCACACCGGAAGGACGCCTCGATCATCTGGTTGTACACCTGGACGTGCTCCCGGCGGCCTGACTCCAGCCGCCCTGCCTTCGCCGCCGTCTGGTACTCCTCGAACACAGCCCGCACATTCTCCAGCTGCCGGTTCGCCGCGTACGCCTGAATGAGATATCCATACAGCGACGGCGCAAGCCGCTCGTCCTTGCGCGCCTCAACCTGACCGAAGATCGTGACTGCCGCGCTGGCGTCCCCATGCGCCGCGCACGAGCGCAGGAACGCCGTGAGCATGTGCATCGGGATCGTGGACGCGCCATTGAGCGAGACGATGGTGTGGAACATCGACAGCGCAGACACAAAGTTCGTCTCCGCACGCAGGCCCTCGACCTGCGCGTCGAGCTCCTGCTCGCCAGCACGGCTGATGCGCGTCTCCAGTGCGGTGATCTGGTTGTGGACCTCCGCATCGCGGACGAGGAGTGCCTCAGAGAGGATGAGGTAGGTGCGCAGGTTGGGAAGGACGGAGGCACGGATCATGCGGTTGTAGACATCGAGCAGGTACGTGAGCGGCTCGCCCTCGCGGCGCGTCGCGTAGATGGTCTCGAGTGCAAGGTTGTAGTCGCGGGTAGACGGGGAGGTGACCGTGGAGAGGAAGTGAGCGACGGCCTCGGCGGCAAGAAGTGCGTCGCCAGACTCCTTCGCTGCGAGGACCGTGGCCTGAGCCTCAGAAACCGGAGTCGACTGCCGTGCAGGGGTCGGCGCGATGTCGATCGGCGGCAGCTGCTTGCCCGACGCAGTATCTACCGATACCGTAGAGTTGCGCCTGACGGGCAGGGGCGACGCAGGGGTCTGCGGGTCGCTTGAGATCGACGACGTCGAGTTACGACGCGACAACCGCGGCGGAACCGCATCGAGCACTTCCTCCTCCTCAACATCCACCACTGCCTTGTCCGCATCCGCGGCGGCGAGCGTGTGCCGTGAGCGCGCGTGCAGGCGCAGAGCCTGAACGATGCTGGCATTTTCGAGTGTGAGCGGGTGCACGGACACCGACTGGCTGCGCAGACGCAACCCAGCGCGGCGCGGCTTGGGATGGCGGAGGGGGTGCACGTCCTCGGCATCTTCCTGCGTCACAGAAACGTCCGCGCCCGTCTGCGCGTGCGCCTGGGTAACAGCGCGTCCTGGAGCACCCTGCAGAACTTGTCAGTACGCGCATATACCCTGCTAGGACCTCCCACGCACCGCAAACGAATGCGAGAACCTGCTCCCGTTATACTTCGCGCCGCCATGACCGCCCCAGTTGCTCGAGCGGCGGTCTGAGGAGGGCACGAGCGGCGCGCCCGTCGAGTCAAAGAAGCCCGGCGACTGGTGGAACACATTCCGGAAGGCGGCCTGGTTCTGGACGGCGGCGGCGGCGCGCGTCGAGGTGTGGAGGATGTGGGAGGCGACCTTGGGCAGCATGGTCGCTGGGGGCCGCAGCCGGCGGGGCGGGCGGGGTCACTGGCGGGGCGTGGTGCGGTGACCGGGAAGCGAGCGGAACAGCTGGGCGCCTAGCCTAGCTTGCTGTGAATGCGGGGGCGTCTAGGTGGTACGCCCGAGGGGGAGAGCCAGGTGATGGAATGGCTCTAGGCGCGGGGGCCTGTGGTCGGTGGTGGGGTGATCCCGGTGGTGGGGGGCTGGTCCCGGTGGTGGGGGGTGAAAGGAAAAGGGAACGAATGAACGGTCGCCCGTTTTGAGCGTGAAGCGGTGCGTGGCGCTTTTTGTCAGGGTCGTCACGCCGCGCGAGTCAGTCACCTGCGGGTTGCTTGCGTATCGCGCGCGGCAGCCAACGAACAGGCGCCGGACGTAAAACCTCGGGCACTCCCGGCTTGTGATTCCGAATGTCGGCGCCACATTCGATCGGGAAATTCCCCGCACTGGTCACAGTGACTCACTTTTGACCTTCGCGCATACTTTCAGCGACACCTGATAGTCGACAGTCCAGGGAGAGGGCCTCAAGTTCATAGATATAACCAGACCTACAACTTCAATGCTTCTCGAGGGGAGAAGGCCAAGCATGCGACCCACGTGATGTGCGCCTGCAGACACCCACAAGCATGAAAGATGGGCCGCTGAGGAGGGGTCTCACAGTGCTCAAGTACCAGCAAGTGGTGTCGCGTCAAGCACACCAATCTTGGCACGATTAGTAGCTTTTGCGGCTGCATCTGCGTGCCTGCATCACTCTGTCGCGGTGGGTGGGTATACACAAGCATCCAGAAAGAGCCCAGAGAATGAAGGAAATGGAGGAAGTCACTGAGCTCAAAGCAGTAATTCCAAAAGTGATGTTATCGAAGCAGCGAGACCTTTTGTGAGCTTCGCTATGCGAGATGGGAGCGAAGATCCACACGCAAAACGACAGACGCGACAGATATTCCCGTGACCGTGCTTACCCCTCATGTCACGGCGAGGGGCCCGAGTTACCGATACGCTGCTCAACGCCTTGATGTCGTCGAATGCGAACTCAGATTTCGCGGCGCGCGATGTCGCAAACAGCGAGGAAACACTGGTCGAGCGTCCGCGTGAAGCAGTCCTCAGCCATATCAATAGCACATCTTCTTCCTTCGGTGCGATTCCCCACTGCGCGATGGTCGGCTTCAAGTTGACCTTCCACTGGGATCGTGACCTGCTGAATTCCGATTGTCCTTGAATCATCTGCGAACGTCCCACTCTGCGCCAGCCTGCCCTCGCCGAGTACCGCGATGCGCTTGTCAATTCGGATATGCGAAGCGTGGGGGTGTCATGCCGTGTGGCTGACGTCGTCTTCATACTCCAGTGGTCCCCACATCAGGGCGTACATGGATCGAGTCGTGCATACCTTGCCCACGAGTAGCCCCCGCACGTTCACGGAGTCCTCCCCCCCCCCTACACACATACACACGAACAGGATCGCGAGATCGCGCAACATCTGAGGTCTTCACGCAAGCACCGTCTTCGCCGCTACCGTACTCGTCACGATGTTGTCTACCAGCCGGCACTCCGCTGCCGCGTCCCCCTTCAGCTTCTGCACCGCCGCCTCTCCGTTCAGCTTGTGGTACTGCAAAATGCTCGTCAGCTCCGTCATACCTCTTCTCCTCGCGCATCCTTCCATCGCCACGCATGTCCCGTCCTCGCACCCAACACACAAATTCGAACACAATCTACTCACCTTCTTCACCGCCGCCCAATCCACGACCGTCGCCAGCTCATCCACCGACCGCCTCTCCCCCTTCACCACCGCGTCTGCTGCAGTGCGCACCGTCTCCTCTCCTACCTCCGGTCCACAAACGCGTACGACAAGCAGGGAGGTACTGCCATCGGAGACGCCGTATCGCCTGATCGCCTCGGAGATCTGTTGTGCGCCGCAAAAGTCAGCGCTCGGGGGTCTTCTATGGCCGAAACCCAGTACAACGTCTACAAACAAGCCCATCCCTGGCTGCCCTGCTGCGCGCTCGCAACATCGTCAATCCGTATACAATTGAGGGATCCTCACATTATTTGTCGGGTTCAGCATGAAGAGGATTTCCGAGTGCACCGTCTTCGTCCTCAACGCCCCGCGGGCTGCGGCTAACACGGCCTGATGTATCGCGGTTCGTAGATGTAGTCGGCTTGTTACCTACAGCGGGGGATATCGAAATTAACTCGTAGATCGGAAGCAAGGCGATGAAGCCTGGTTGATGAGCAATAAGGCAGGGCAGTGCAAAGCTGCAAGCGTGCCCAGCCGCACGTCAGGCTCCCATTAGACTTCCTTGACTTCCTCATATTCGCACAGCTTCCATGCTCCCTTCCAGACGATGCAGAACCACCACTCACCAATCTCGCATCCACGAAGGCAAAATCGACCGCCTCGCGCTCTTTATCTCCCGCCTCACCCTCAGCGGTCGCAGCAGCGACGATGCGTTTCCTAATTTCTGCCGAGTTCGTCACGTTCGTGTAGAGCGCCGTGTAGACGACAGAAAGATCCTGAGGGACGTGCGCGAGGGTGAAGGATTCCATGAAAGCTTTGAGATGTGCGATGTCAAGCAGAGCGTCTCGATGAGAGGGTGATCAAGATAGGCCAGGACGGGCGTGTCGGGGAATGGGGTAGACAGACGAGGGAGAGAATGAAGACAGATTACCTGAGCAACAGCGTAGCGATGGTCAAGATCACGGCGTAGATAATGAATTTGGGGCGAATTCTGTTCGGGTACATAGTGATGTGACACCGCATAGTCACAATTGTGGTAAGCTTTATACGGGCCAACGTCACGCAGCCGTTGTCCATCCCAGCCCGAGTTCTTGACGGGAGGATCCTTCGGAGTTGATGAGAAGCCATGGCTCGCGCAAGCTATACGGGAGCGCGCTCCCTCCGAGATCTGGGCTGTTCACGCTCGTTGATCTGTGTGAGTCAATTGCCCGCGCGCACGTGGAGCCTAAAGGGGAAAGCGGCGTGCCCAGCGGCGACCATCCCGCCAGCAGCCTACAGACGCTGAAGAAATTGTTGTAGATAATGGAATAGAGGATACAGCATCCAGGAGCTGTTGCTGTTGAACAAGCTTGCTTTCAGCCAAGGCGTTCTGCGCGACTAACAGAAATGCCGCCGGTCGCTGCATCTTACTCGTCACGTGAATGTTCCATCACGCTTGTTTTTTCAAGTTGTTGCGCGACGGCGCCCCTCAGTCACGCAGCAGGACACGTGCCCCCTGCGTGGCTCCAGTGGCTTGCCTTGATATCAAGCGTCGTCTACGTGGCATATAACCTATTCTGCGGGGCTTGTTGGCCCAGTCGCAAGCGTGCTCTACTTATTGGCATACAGTACAATGGCAAGAAAAGCAGCAGACTCAGAGGAACGCATAGCGACGTCGACTACGTGCACCGTCTGCTTGTTGGTACGAAGTTCATCGACGATCGACACCATTCCGAGATTGACGAAGTGCAGAGAGCTATGGCTTTTTACCTGGCAACATAACTCTGATGAAGGATGCGGCCGATATAGAACCACATTTGTGGCCGACTGAGCAGAATATCGTGCGCGGGCTCCCTTCCGGATATAGGCTATGCGAGCTGACCTTGCCGTTGCTCGAATGTTCATTGTTCTGACTATTCTCTCTCTTAAACCTTGCGTCCTGCTTTGAACGCAGCATCGAGAGGCTCAAAGGCTCACTCAAGATTGCTCGCCTCGTAAGTTGTTTGCTCCTCAGCCGCGAACAAATCTGATACAAGTATCCTCGACCTTAGACGACCGATTCTTCTTTCTCTGTATGTACCATCTAATATATCCTATGCGCATCGAGGCATGATACCTCCAGATGCTGGACATGCCGGGCGCGAGAGCGTGATTGACAAAAACACCGAGGGTGATGAGCAACAAACATGTACGACGATCGTGCAACTCATTCATACATGTACTGACCGCACTTGCAGATATTGTACCGTGCAGTGCATCGGATCAAGATGAGACGGGCTGCATCTCGAACACCGTGGGTGTCTCTGCCGTGTACAGTGACCTGATTGCTAAACCATCGCGCAGGACCTGCACTCGTTTCTGGTAAAGCCTTTAAAGTCACAATGTCGATTAGTGGTATTTCTTCCTATCCGAGTCCGTGGCTGCACATGTCAATCATGTCCCCCCAGGCCTTCCTTGACGCGTGCCACTCCGCTACGTTGCTCGGTACGTATTCAGCTCCGCGATCAACTCAGCGCTAAAGCATTGGCTATTTTACCAGTACCCCGTGATGCTTGTAGCCTCGGCATACATGACAGAGGCGGCGAAGGCAAGCGTTCCCCGCGCTGAAATGTTCAGTCTCTCAAAAGGTATCGTACACAGCGACGCCATCACGGCCACGTCAGCACTCGGATGCTTGCTTGAACCAATGTCCTATGCCATATGCAACTCGCGAGCCCGCGACAAAGTCGTTCAACAGATCTGTAACCGATCTGCGACTTCAGCCCTACTTTGACGACGGGGCAGACGGCGCTGGCGACTGTCGTGCTCATCCAATAATATCTGCCGTGAACGAGGGCTTCGCACGTCCATGGAATTGGTGTCAAGAGTTCTGCAGACGCCTCCATAAGTCATGCGATCCCCACATTGTATGACATTCATAACAGTCCAGAATGGCGCTAATCTTCGTCGCTAGCTATGCATCAGTGCATGCAAGGACGACGAGTCCACGTTAGAGATGCGCAACCTCTCGATGACCAAGGTCAGTGTTCTACGTCTATAGACCTTTCGGCAGCACTAAATACGGCAACATCTCAGATCTTGGTGCGCGCGCTAGGTCTGCTAATTTCCTTGCAAAACGGGGGGCGAAGTCACAATTGACCCATTTTTTTCTAGAGCGCAATCCGAACCCATCACTGGCGTCACTCGTAACAACGGTCCAGTGCGTCGCCCCGAATACTCTGGTTAGAAACCCTCTTATAGTGAATCCAGGCAAGCACTCATTGAGGCATACGAAAGTCGAAAGCGCGCGTATACGGCCAAGCGAATGCGGAAGAACCGTAGACACGGCAGTCGCGATGATTCCACCTGGCGTTCAGTTCCCGGAGAATGCCGTTTTCCGCCTCACACACAGGTTGACGGTAGTCCCGAGCTGCATACTATACTCTGGCCTCCGCTGGGTGAGATACAGGTCAGTTATCACGGTTTGACTCGTTGTTCGTCTCTAAACGTCGTCACCTCTTAGATGACATCGAATCAAGCGATGGTGCGATTGGCTGCCCTTCTTCCACTGAACGACGACTGACATTGTCCTATGCAGCGTGGCGATACCGAGCGCTTCGTCTTCTAATATTTTGTTGCGGTATATGGTACCGAAGGGTTTGGAAACAATGAGGTCCATGTAACAATGTAACGAGTACGACGGATCTAATGCAATAATGCAACGGAAGGAGGGCATGTGTAGTTACAGGGATTGTATGTGTATTTGTAACAACAACGAACGAACGTCTATACAAACACTAGCGAAGGTCGATACACGAGGCAGCGAGTAACGTCCACAGCTCGCGCTCCGAAAAGTACACGAATATGAATAGTGGCATAATTTACATATCATCGTCCGCTCACGCACGGCCAACGTCCCAAGTGTGCATGTGTGAATCCAGCGAGCCTGCTACGTCTACGTAGGGACCATCCGCAACTATCTCGCCTCCTCTGGGCTTACACCTTACCCCACCACCTTCACCACCACCGTGCCCCCTTCCTCTAAAACCTCATTGCCATCCACGAACACATCTGGCGCCCGCTCAAACGTCACCACTCGCGCTGCGCGTTCCCCTTCGTCCTGCCCTGACACCCAAGGCCGCACGCCCTCCCGCACCGCCGCCACCAGTGCGCCCTCGATCGCATCCCCCACTCCTGCACTCGCCCAGTCCACATCTGACACGGGGTCTACCCATGCGTAGCCGACGCGCGCACGGTCGCCACTGCTGTCGCCGCTCTCTCGGCCGCGCATCGCGCGCATTCCCGCGCGATAGTGGTCGCCCGCAGTCGGGACTGGCTTCTCCGGCGTGTCGCCGACGAGCGTAGTGAACTGCGCAAAGCGGGGCGGGCCGCGGCGTTTGCGCACGCTGAGGCTGCGGCGGAGGGAGGAGGGCGTGGCGGGTGGGGATACGGGCGAGGATCCGCGCAGGAGCTTTTCGGAAGCTTCCCAGATAGCGCGGCCGCCGATGGTGTCGAGGACCGCGTCGAAGGTGTCGCCGTCGTCGCTGAGGCGTTCGAGGACGCGGACGACGGCACCAGTCGCGCCGCCTTCTCCGCCCTCGCCTGCGTCATCGAACACAACCTCCTCGGCGCCCCAACGTCGGGCGCGCGTCTCGATGGCGGCCATATTACTCTCCTCGTCCCGTCGCGGTCCCGGCGCATGAACACTTACCCTCCAACCCCTTCGTACAAGGAGCTGCGTAGCAAACGCGCCAACGCCATCATGGCCCATCAGCACCAACACGCGCTTAGCGTCATTCGAAGTGCCCGATAATGCGGCCATGAACGCTTTCAAGTCTGCGGGATGTCGATTGATGTCGTCCATACTGGCGCTGCGCTGATGAGGTTCACGCTGCTTTGACGGCGATCCCGCGAAGGCGAAGAGGAGCGTACGAACTGCTCGGAATGCGGGCACTCCAACTAGCGGCAGAAGCGCTAGTTCCTCCAGAGTTAAAGCGGGAATTTGGGACGGGATGTGCATAGATCGGCTTGATCTACGGGAGCCTGCTGCGGGGCGAATTGAGGGCATGGCGCCGGATAGACTAGGTGTGGACGGCCTCGATGGAGGGGGAGTAGGATACGCTTGTTCGACCATCTCGGGGGAATCGTCGAGGCCGTGTTTTGGCATTTGGGGCTGAGAAACGCGGCGGACGCGATGTCTGTCCACAACGACGAATTCAGCGAGAGCACCAGCCTGGAAGATAAGATCAACGATGGCTTTGAATCAGAGGATAGTTCTGTATACCTTGCGGACATCGAGGAGGCCCACAACCCAGTCCCCTCTCCGTGTGTGCTCGTCCCGTACCTCCCAACCGCATTGGAGCACGCGACCAACGAACGAGCGCCCCGGAATGTAGCCAACGTCCGCTTGACGATCTGAGCTCGCACGTTCCTTCCCTATGGATTTCCTGCACCTGCTGTCCACATCAATACCGACCAGCCTCCCATCCAACGTGTCCACTCCCACCGCCCATACCTGCACCAACACGCTATTTGGTGGCACATACGTCGGCGGCGGCCGGTGACTCGTTGAGGCGAGTACGGTGACGCGGAGAGCGGGCCGGGCTCGGCTCACGGAGATGATGAAGAAGATTCCCACGAGGTTACTCTGTAACGAAGTCTCGATTGAAAACCTTGCCCTCCTCCCTTGGAGGAGGGCCCTTTTATACCTACAGCTGTAAGTAGTCATAACTAGTCACGGAGTATATATACGAGTCATAAGAAACCAGGAGAACCTCAAGGAACTCCAAAGGAAATACCCCCGCGAGGGGTGAAGGCAGAGCACGTGGCGTCGGCTAAGGCCGAGGCGTCACATACCCCCCTCCAGCGCCTTCTAAGGCGCTCTGTAAGTACAGTAGCAACCAGTAAGTAGCACGTATGTATAGAATAGAAACGAGTCTTTGTTTTTGTATATATTTCGAACCTTTTCTGTAAGTAACTTTCGAGCCGTTGTTCTGATGATCTCTAGTAAGTAGTAAGTAACTACTGGTTCCCCTTGCCCTCGCGCCGCTTGGCACGGTTCGCCTCGAAGGCCTGCTGGCGGCGGGCGTTCGACAAGCGCCCCTGCATCGCCTCGATGGCCGTCACCTCACGAAGGAGGAGCTCCTCGTTGGTGGGCTCGGGCACCTTGCCCTCCACCTCGTCCATGTAGCGATGCGCGGCCGCTCCGCTGCTGATGTCGAGGATCTGACGCACCCAGAAGGTCCGATCAATGCGCTGCTCGTCGGGGATGGGTCGGACTTTGCCGGTCGCGAGGTCGATCGGGCACATGTGCTTGCCGAAGTCGGCGCGCTGGAGGATTTCCACGAACTCGGCATAGCCGGACGGGACCTCAACAACGTCGTGGCGGATTCCAGTAGCAGTGATGCCGTCGCTGAAGCGCATGTACTCGACGAGGATGGTGAGTGGGATGCGGTAACTGAAGAGGTATTCTTCAGGGTCGTTGCGCGCGTAGATAGGGATGACGAGGCGGCGTCCGCGGATCTCCCACGTCATGGGAACGATGCGGCGGTGGGCGAATTGGGCCGGGCCACGTGGCTTGGCGCGGCCGAGGAGGAAGCCGTCGTCCTCGGAGGCGCGCTTGGCGGGCGTCGTCTCAGCGGCGGCGGACGGAGGCGCGGTCTTATCCGCACCAGCGTCGGCGGCGGCGTTGACGCGCGGGATGGGTTGCTTCATGACGTCGGAGCGCGCGGCTTCCTGCTGGCGGATGCGGTCGGCGATGATACCGGCATTGTACTTGGCGCGGGCGGCCTCCTTTGCGCGGAGCGCGGCGGCGGTGTCGACAGGCGGCTCGCTGTCGATGAGAGTGGAGGCGGCAGAGCCGGCGGCGTCGAGGACGGACGACATCGTCTTGGGCGCGGGTGCCGGCGGGGCGGCCTCGGAACTGGGTGGGTCGACATCCATCGGTTGGACCGAGTCCGCCTTGTTGCCATTTTTGATCGCCGGCGCCGTTTTGGCCTTGGTGTGGGAACGGGTACCGACACGGTTGACGTTGGGCGAAGGGGAAGGAGAGTTGGGAAGCGGAGGTAAGGTAGAAGTATCCATAGTATGTATGTAGAGAGAGGAAGAGGAAATGGAGTTGGTTTGGCATACTGACTGTCCATCCCTTTTAAGGGGATCCCAGCTAAGCCCATTACCCGATTCGTCGTGAATCTCGCCATCGGGAACACGAGGCTCGATCGTGAGTTCGAGATTCCCTACATACAATTGGATATCCCCGGGGTCTGGTTCAGATCCAGCCGGGAGATCACCCGCTTTGTCAACGCCAAGCGCCTCAAGGTACTGCTTGACCTTCTCGAGGGTGGCAACATTCTTGATCGGGATCCAGGACATGTCGCCTGGCTTCCACTTCACCTTGAGTACTGCATCAGCACCCTTGCCGTGATGTCCCACAATCTCCTCAATTGCCCATTCTTTCTCCCAGGCACCGAAGTCGGCCACCTGAGTCTCAAGGCGGCCCGGAAATAGCCGATCATCATTGGGAATATGAATTCTCAATAGAGACGCGTGGAAGCGCGGGTGTATTCCCCGCTGCTTCAACTCCTTCGGGAGATCAAGAAGGAAGGCCTCATTGCCTAGATCCTTCAGGATGCGGTATGGTCCAATGAACTTGGGAAGTAGCTTACGAACGCGGCCCTTCGGGAAGTTCATGTTGGCAGTTGAGACATATACTAGATCGTTCTCGGCAAAAGGCGCGCGGATGCGGCGTCGATTGGCATCACGTGTCTGCTTGACACGCGCGGCGAGCACTGCGTCATGAGCCTGCATGATGGCCTGCTTGACGCGGCGCGCATAAGTCCGCACCCCGGGATATTCCGTCGTGGGTGCGTCCTCCCAGATCATGGCGCGGGGCATGCGACCAGTATTCAGGAAGAACGGTGCATACCCCGTGCTCTCCGAGCGCACGGAGTTGATCGCAAACTCAACCGCCGGCAATTTCAGGACCCAGTCCGATTGAGCGGGCTCGACGCATTCGCGTATCATCTGGACAACTGTCCGATTGGCCCGTTCAGTTGATCCGTCGGTCTGCGGATGGTATGCAGTTGACATGCGCAGCTCCGTTCCGATCAACTTGTGCAGGTGAGTCCAGAATATGCTCGTGAAGAGCGAATCCCGGTCACTGACTATGTACTTGGGGAGCCCATGTAGCTTATAGACTTCCGCAAAGATAATGTATGCCAGAGTCTTGGCAGTCACATTAGTACGCGTCGGAATAAGATGTACCATGCCGGTCAGCAGGCAGATCACGACGAGAAGGTAATTGAAGGTCCCATTGTGATTCTCGCTCTCGGGAAAGGGACCCGTGAAGTCTATCCCGATAGCTTCCCAAGGCGTGCCAGGCACCGGCAGGGGATTCAATAGCCCGTACGGCTTGTGATTGCTGGGCTTATTCCAAGCGCACGTGGTGCATGATGCGATGAACTTCTGCACATCAGGCACCAGCGTCTTCCACCACACCTGATCACGGAGCACGGGGATAACCTTAGCGGCACCGAGATGCGCGAGTAAGGTGTGTGCTTCCTGAATAATGAGTCCTCGCACGGAGCGACCACTTTCCTTGATGTTCGGAATGCACAGCAGACGACGAGAGTCCTGCTTCAGGAAGATGAGTCCGTCAACCACCTCAAAGTTTCGGAAGTGACTGGGTTCTTCCAATATCTTGGCAAAGAACGGATCGTCCTGATACTTATCCCGGATCAAATCTTCAATGCGTACACCCCGTGTGTGATTGGGTATAGCCGTCAAGATAGGTTCCGTGAGGCTAGGAGGTGCGATATCATTATCTTCGTCACCTTCCGCGCCGACCGAGGTCGAGACACGTGTTTCCTCTGCTGAGGCTGGTGTCTCGCCTGTCGGGTGTTCTGGTTCGGATTCCGACATCTGGACAGCACTAGGTATGTCTATATTCGCATCCTCTGTGATTGGGCTGCCGACGTCGGGCGACGACGGGCTGTCTTCGACAGCGCGCGAGTGCGCGTTCTCTCGGGTACCCGAGGGGTACTCGGAAGATGCCGAATGTGATGTTCCGCTGACATCACCTCGCGTGGCTTGATCGGAAGCAAACGCGTGATGAGCTGGCAGCGCGTTCTGCGCTGCTTCCTTCTCACTCATCTCGTCTTCAAACGCGTTCGGGTCACTTGCAAAAGGTTCGACCGGGTCGTCTCCCCCCTCCAGACGCGTCGCGCGTCTATCAGAATCGCCATCCGCCGCGTGATCGCCCACAATCAAGCGGACGGATCCTTTCTTCGCAGCGAGTCGGCGAACCCAGTCGTTGAAGGCCTTCGTCGAGCCTTTCGGACGACCGCGACCACGGCGTGGAGCTGCGTCGTCCCCGCCTTCTGGCGCAATTGCCAGGGCGCCAAGCTCGGTCACAAGCGGCCGAGTAATGTCCATACCGTCGTAATCGACAGAGCCATCCTCATCAAAGGATGTATATTCAGAGGGAGAGCGCAGTGTTCCAGGTGCGTCGCCCTCGTATATGCGTGATAGTGCATCAGCTAACACGTTATCCACGCCCGGCAGGTACACGACTTCGAAGTCAAACTCGCCCAACTTCTCAAGCCAGCGCGCTTGCCGCCCCGAAAGGTTTGGCTGCCGCAGAAGATGGACGAGACCACGATGGTCAGTCACCCACGTAAAGTGGAATCCCTGAAGTAAGTCGCGATGTCGCTGCATTGATTCCACGCCAGCTAACATCTCAATCTCATGTACAGGATAATTCTGCTGAGTCGTGCTCAGCTTCGCGGAGAAGAGCGCGATTACCGTTCCGGTACGCCAATCCTCCCCTTCAACGACTACTCCTGACAAAGACGACTTAGAGCCGTCGGTCAGAAGCCAAACGCGCGAAGTGGGCTTGCCATCCGGCCCGAGGGTGATGCCTCGGCGTGAGACGCGCTTGCTCGCGCTCACCAGCCGCTTGCAATCCTCAAACGCGCGCTGCTGCGTGAATCCCCACTCCCATCGGTGAGTTTCGCCGCACAAATCGTGCAAAATGCCCAGGGGCGCGGCGATCTCGGCGACATTGTCGGCGAGCCAGCCCACCGCGCCACAAAATGCGCGAACTAACTTCTTGTTCGTAGGCACCGGCCACTTCGCGACCTCGTCAACGCGGGCAGGATCGACACGAATGCCGTTCGCATCAACGATTCGCCCAAGTACGCGCACTTCAGGCTCGAGGAAGTGCAGCTTATTAACACCCAGATAGAACTTCTCGCGCGCCAGCACCTCAAGCACGGTTTTGACAGCGCGAACATGCTCTTCGAGCGTGTCCGTGTATATGACAATATCGTCAAGGTACACGTCCATGAAGACACCTAGGTAAGGGCGAAAAATATGCGTCATTATTGCCTGACACGTCGCGACAGCATTGCAGTCGCCCTGGAGCATAACCTTGCTCTTCACGTTACCATCAGGCGTCGCCATGATGTTAACGTCTTCGTACTCAGGTAAGACACGTATTTGCTCATAGTGGTCTTTCCCGTCGAGAATTGACCAATATTTCGCAGCGGCGACGCGACGCAAGATCGCGTTCTGGTCGGGGAGCGGG